TATATCTCTCTCTCTCTCTCTCCTCCTCTCTCCACTCTCTCTCTCTCTCTTTCTCCCTCGCACTCTCTCTCTCTCTCTCGTTCGCTTACTGCCTCTTTCTCCCCTCTCTCGCTCTCCCTCCCTTTCTCTCTATCCGTCTGACATCGCGGCATGTTCGACTATGCTTTCGCGCACATCTCGTACATTAGCGAGGCCTTCCTGCGCTTTCCTCGCTCCACGCGAAAACAAACCGTCGCGCGATTCGAGACGTCGACAAAACCCGTGCGTTTGCCAAGCGGCAAAGCAAACCACCCTCCCCCTCTCCCCCTCTCCCCCTCCGCAAGCGACCACGGTGAGGCTATTACACGCGTGCGTCAACTGTATCGGTTTACCNCTCCTCCACTCTCCCTCTGCGGGTGACCGCATGCCCCCGTGATTACAGCATGGTATTAAATGGACCCCTCTCCCTCTCCCTCTCCTCACAGAAAGACGTTACAGCTCCCCGTGTTTAAACGCCACCCGCTCTCCCTCTCTCCTCTCTTCCTCTTCTCCCTCTCTCCCTCTCTCCCTCTCTTCCCTTTCTCCTCTTCTCCCTCGTTCTCCCGCTCTCCCTCTTCATCCCTGCTTATCGTCTCTCCCTCTCTTCCTCTCTTCCTTTCTCTTCCTCTTTCCTCTCTTCCTCCCGCTCTCTCTCCTTCTCTCCGTCTCTCGTCTCTCCTTCCCTCACCACGCGTTACAGCCGTGATTTAAACACGACTTTCCTCTCCCCTCTCACACTCGTCTCCCCTCTCATCCTTTTTCTTTTCCCATCCATCCCTCACACCACCACAGCCGTGTTTAAACACGACCTTCTCTCTCCCTCTCACCTTCTCCCCCCTCTTTCTCCCTCTCCCCCTCTCACACTCTCTCCATCCCTCACGCCACCACAGCCGTGTTTAAACACGACCTTCTCTCTCCCTCTCACACTCTCTCCCTCTACGCCCCCTCTCTCCTCTCTCGTCCGTCTCTCCCTCCCTATCTCGTCTCCCTCTCTCTCGCTCTCTCGCTCGCCTCTCTCTCGCGCTTACAGCAATATTTAAACGGGACCACTCGCCCCTCGGACCCCTCTCATCCCTCTACCCCGATCCCCCTTCTCTCCGTTCTCCAAACCTCTCCTCCAATCTCCCCTGCGGCGTGACCGTCATGGCGCCCCCGTGTTACAGCACGGTATCAAACACGACCCTCTCTCCCTCTCTCCTTCCCTCACACCACCACAGCCGTGTTTGAACACGGCGTTCTCTCTCACTCTCTCCCTCTCCCTCTCCCCTTCTCTCTCTCTCTCTCACTCTCGCCCTCTCGCCCTCTCTCCCTCTCTCCCTCTCTCCGTCTCTATCTCCTTCCCTCACAGCGTTACAGCCGTGTTTGAACACGGCGTTCTCTCTCCCTCTCTCCCTTTCCCCTTCTCTCTCTCTCACTCTCGCCCTCTCTCCCTTTCTCCTTCTCTCCTTCTCTCCGTCTCCCTCTCTCTCTCACGCTCGCCCTCTCTCCCTCTCTCCGTCTCTCTCTCCTTCCCTCACAGCGTTTAAGCCGTGTTTAAACACGACTTTCTCTCTCCCTCTTTCACTCTCCCTCTCTCACTCTCCCTCTAGCCATTTCTCCCTCTCCCCCTCTCCCCCTCTCTCACTCTCTCCTTCCCTTACAGCACCACAGCCATGTTTAAACACGACCTTATCTCTCCCTCCCCCACAGATGACCGTCATCGCCAGAGACCACGGCCGACCTCCCAAGTCCGGTCTGCTCGTCATTCACATCAAGCTGGTCGACTCGAACGACAACGCGCCGAAGTTCGAGCAGGCCAACTACGAGATCAACGTCGTCGAGAACATCGCTCCGGGAACGACGATCTTACGCGTCACAGCCGACGACTCCGACGACGGCGACAACGGTCGGCTCACCTACTCGCTGTCGGCGCGCAATAACGCGCAGGTTGCCGACACGTTCGCGATCGAGGCGGCGACGGACGAGCTGTACGTGACGGGAGTGATCGACTACGAACGGTCGGCGACGTACTATGTCTACGTGCAGGCGACCGACCTGGGCGAGATGCCGCTAGCTGGGGTCAGTCTCGTGACGATCCACGTCATCGACATCAACGACAACCGGCCCGTCATCAACGTCAATCTGCTGTCGGCTGAGGACGAACACGCGCGGGTTTCCGAGCGCGCCCCCGTCGGGTCATTCGTCGCCAAGGTGTCAATCATCGACGCCAACAGCGGAGAGAACGGGCGAGCGACGGGCGAGATCCTGCCGCCAGGTAACGCGTACTTCGTCATGAAGCCACTGTTTATCAACGAGTACATGCTCGTTACGTCGCGACTTCTCGATCGCGAACAGATCTCCGATTTCAACCTGACGATCAGAGTCGAAGATAAAGGCGTGCAGGCGCTTGGCGCCACCGCCGTACTCCGGGTAGAAGTACTCGACGAGAACGACAACCCGCCGCACTTCAACCAGTCGCTGTACGTCGCGAGATTCGCGAGAACAACCTCATCGGCGGGTTCCTGCAGCAGCTGGCCGCTACCGACCGCGACGCGGGCGACAACGCTCGCATCGTCTACTCCGTACAGCCGCCGCACGACAACGTGTTCCACGTGAATCCGAACACGGGCGTGATGACGGCGCGAAAGCAGTTCGACCGTGAAGAGACGCCGTCGATCGACGTCACCGTCATGGCGTCCGACCGCGGCCAGCCGCCGCTCAGCGCGTCGACGATCGTCAGGGTCGTCTTCAAGGACGAAAACGACAACTCGCCGCTGTTCGATAAGCACTCGTATCGGTTTGTTATCAACGAGAACCAGCCTGTGTCGAGTTTGATCGGAAACGTGCTGGTGACGGACCGCGACGCCGGCGACAACGCCGACGTCGTCTACTCGCTCGGCAGCCTCGTTTCGGAGTTCAGCGTCGATCCGAAGACGGGCGGGATTTACACGAACCGGAAGCTAGACCGCGAGAAGGTGCACACGTTCCGCTTCGTTGTCGTGGCGACGAACGCCGACGCCGAAGATCGCTACGACGAGGCGAACGTGACGGTGGTCGTCGACGACACGAACGACAACATGCCGACGATCACGTTCCCGTCCGGCAGCGACAACGTCGTCTTCCTACCAGAGTCGACGACGGCCGGCGCCTTTGTCTGCACCGTCGTCGCATTCGACGAGGACCGCGGCGCCAACGATAAACTCGACTACGACATCATGGACGGAAACGGCGCCGGTCTGTTCGGGATCGACCGGAAGTCCGGCGACCTGACAATCGCGTCGATGCTGAAGCCGGAGTGGGTCGGCCTTCACAAACTCATTCTCAAGGTCAGCGACCGAGGTCATCCGCAGAACGTCGCCATGGCGGCGCTCAACGTCATCATCCATCCGAACAACATGACGGCCAACGAGACGCTGATGTACCTACTTGGCGACCACGTCGGCGACGACGACGGCGCGACGACGACGACGTCCTCCTTCCTGTCGTCGCACTTCACGCTCATCATCGCCATATCGGCGCTGTCGGCGCTGCTGCTGTTCGCGCTCGTCGCACTCGTCGTCATGTACCGACGCAAGAGTGGAGATAACCACGCCTACAACGTTCGCACCGAGGCGCAGCGCATAGTCGCCGGCATCAAACGTCGGCTGCCGTCGACGGACACCGACTGCGAAGCCGAACAGTGTCCGGCGAAAGCCGACGACGACGGCCCGCCGGAGAGCTGCCGCGACGTCGACGAGCAGAGCATGCGCAGTGGGTGCAGTCACTGCGAGAAGGGAGGATGCGTCGAGCAGCAGAGATGCGAGTCGAACATGACGGGGAATTTTAGCTGGGTGTTCTGCTCCCGAGGTCCGTCGAGGGATAGCAGCGCCACCACCGTAAGTGCTGCACTTATATATAATTATACCCACTATCCTTCTATCTGCTAGTATAACCATAGAAATATATAGAGACACTAGAGAGACAATATAGAGAGTCTAACTATAATATTATTTCTGTGAGTAAAATATACCCTAGCGAATGTAGAGCCGAGTGTACATTATGATTGAAGGGGAATCCACCTGGGTAAATCCGTTTTCATTTTCATTCGCGTGCGCTCGCTTTCGTGACTGGAGAAAACACGACGGCGACGACGATGGGCACATTATTATTACCGATCGAAAAGAAACGCAAAAAAATAATAATAAACGTAAAAAATATACGTCACGGCGGATAACGAGAATAAATGTCATCCTTGGTCGTGATTTACGCACGCACGCACGCGGTGACGTGGCTGTAACGGCGGGGGACTGAAGTATACTCTCTCGCATTGTCCGCGTGTAGAGTCCGCATGGAGCGTGCGGTGGCGGTGCTGGTGGAGGAGGAGGAGGAGGAGGAGGAGGAGGAGGGGGAGGAGGACTGATGGCGCCGCCGCAGCGACAGAGAGCCGAGAACAACTACGTGGAGCATCCATCGCTTCCAGCACGCGCAGAGAACGCGTACGGCGAGCAGCCATCGCTACCTAGCAGACGCGCACAGAACGCTCGCCTTCTGCCCCCTAGTCAGGTAACTATGCGCCTCCCTAACTATCTCCGCTCTAAGGAATCGAGGAAACTCTCAGAAATCGAGGAAAATAAGGAACTTTCCGCCTCAAAGCATTGGTTATTTCACTTATAACCTCTGCCGATAAAAATTATCCTTTCGCCGATGACTGCATCTCATATATTTTCGTTAGGTAATCGGCCTTTCCTAGCCTCAGCTAGTCAGGTAGCTATGCGTCCCAAGGAATCGCATACTACATCGCCTAAAACAGGAAAAAACATACATACATTTAATATATTTTGACGTTAGGTAATCGCCCTTTAGCGACGCCGAGTAAAAATCTAATAATAATTTCTCCTTTAAATATAGATCGATATTTCGATCAAACGTCGTCTGCTCATAAACAATGAGTTATTAGCAACGCACTTGTTTCCCTCCCTGCAGGCGCAGCTCTCTGGTTACAGTGACCACCATGGTGCTAACAGCGCCACCTCGATGGACACGGGCTACGCGGAGAGCGTGGCGGACGCGTCCAGCGATAACACGGTGCCGCCACAGATGGCGTCACTGTCGTCCGGGTACATACCCGTGGCAACAGAGTACACGTCGAGCGAGAGCGACCCGAGTGAAGGTAATTTGAGGTAACTATTGATTATTTGTGTTGTTACTAACTCAGAAAACAATGTCAGAAACCAATGTTACATGTTAGAACCGCACGCTGCATGTATATATATATATATATATATATATATATATATATATATATATATATATATATATATATATATATATATATATATATATATATATATATATATATGCATACATGTGCATAGCTCTGTGTATTGACGTCGTACGCAATTATTGCTGACAGACAGGTTGGCTGCGGCAGAGAGCGGCTCGCTGTTGTTATGTTGTTGAGTTATTATATATTGCGTGTGCCTACTATATCGTCTGCGTGCTGTGGTATTTATTACTGTAGAGTAGAATATACATGTTGTCAATTATCTTCTTAAATAACCTGCCGATGCGAAAAGACATCCTTCTTACATATCTGAGGCTGCAGTGCCGTGTAATTTTCTCTTTCATCCACCCTTGCGTCCAACATTGCGTGTGCGTGCGTTCGTGTGTTCACCTATGTGCAACTCTGTCTGCGCCTATGGCCCGGGCGAATCTTTTAGCCAGTTTTCTTCCGTCTCTTTCATGCAACACACTAACAACTGTATAGGTGTAGCAAAGCGCACAGGACGGTGAGTGTCGCATGCCGTCTCTATTGGAACCTATTTAGTGATTATTTTATTTCCTCCTGTATTAACAACTCCTCCGTGTGCGTGCGTTTTAACACATTTTGTTGTTAATGTTTCATCTACGCATGACACCTGCGTCGCTTTCAGATGAGAGATAAAGAGAGAGCGAGAGAGAGCGAGAGAGAGAGAGAGAGAGAGAGAGA